TTAGGGTTTTCCTGGCAAAGATACCGGAGTGGTTTGCCATTCCCTCCTCCGGCTTGTTTTACAGATGAGGAAACTGAGGCAAACAAGATTAAGCGACTTGCCCAGGGTCACACAGCTAGTGAGTATCTGAAGTTAGATTTGAACTCAGGTCTTTCTGATCTTTCAGACTCCAGGTCTGGTGCTCTATCTACTGCACCACCTAGTTGCCCATTAGCTCCAGATCTTATGATCCTATTCCCTGTCTACACCTTCTTCTCTCCTGCTTCTGCACACTTCCATGAGAAGGAAACATACCGTCCAATCCCTAGCCTCATGTTTCTTCTCCATCATAGTTCTGTTGCCTACTTGTGGTCTCCAGGAAGCTTGACTCTCTCTCCCACATAGTCTGTTTTGTTATCTCTTTTACAACACTGTACCCTACTTTCCTTCCCCCAGACAGACAGACAGACAGACAGACACACACACACACACACACACACACACACACACACACACACATTACCAAGCCTTGAAATCTACTGGCTCCATGGGGACAATCACCACCCTCTGTCCCTCTCATTGGAAGGTGGAGCTATGAACTCTAAACTGTCCATTTCAGGAGGGAGCTCAGCTCAGAACTACTCCTCATTTCTCACCTGGCTGGGCTACTTCAGAACCTCTCTGACTCTGAAACCTTCCCTGGCACCGCAAATCCCCCTCATTTTTCAGTTTTCTTTTCTGTGTTGCCTTCTTTCATTAGATTATAAACTCTGTGAGGGCAGGGATTGTCTTTTTTTTTATATTTGCATCCTCAGAGCTTAGCTCAATGGCTGGCACATAGTAGGAGCTTAATAAATGTTTATTGACTGAGAGTCAATTAATAAATTTATAGAGTACCTACTGTGTGTCAAGGACTGTGCTAAACTCTGAGGATACAGAGACAAAACTGAAACCATCTTTGCCCTCAAGGGCCTTACTTTCTATCTGAAGTGGTAGCCAGTGCTAAAGAACCTACAAAATGCACACACAATAAATACGAAACCATTTCAGTTGCGAGCCACTAACAGTCGGAGGAATCAGGGAAAACTTCTTGTAAGAGGTGGTGCTTGAGCTCAGTTTTGAAGGAAACTGGGAATTTTAAGAGGCAGAGATGAGGAGGCAATGCATTCCAGGCATGAGGCACAGCCTATACAACTGCATTGAGGTGGGAGATGGAATGGCATGCATAAGGCAGAGCAGGAAGGCCAGCTTGACTGGAACTCTGTATTTGAAGGAGGGACTAGGATAAGGACTGGACCAGGGATTTGGTACTAGGAACTCCCAGGAGGCAAAATTCTTTCTACCAAAGACAGTTGCCTTGGACTGTCACCTAGAACAGTGGGATCAAATTCGAATAGAAACCTGGGCCACTAAACCTTACATAAGGATTCCAGAGAGCTGCATACTGACTTAGAAAACCACATACCAGTATTAATGGGATTGGGCCTGTGAGTAGCTGCTGCACTTCTAGCTTGGATGACTTTCCAATTGAAAGGAAGGAAGGAAGGAAGGAAGGAAGAAAAGAAGGGAAGGAAGGAGGAAAGAAGAAAGAAAGGAAGAAAGGAAGAAAAAATGGAAGAAAGGAAGGGAAAGGCAAGAAGAAAGAAAAATGGAAAGAGAAAGAAAGGAAGGAAGGGAAGAAACAAGAAAGGAAGAAAGAAAAAAGAAAGGAATGAAGAAAAGAAGAAAGAGAGAAAGGAAGAAAGAAACGGAGGAAAGGGAGGCAGGAAAAGAGAAAGAAAGCAAGAAAGAGAGAGAAAGGAAGGGAAGTAAAGAAAGAGGGAAGAGATAAAGAAAAGGAAGAAAGAAATGGAATAAAAAGAGGAAGGAAAGAAGAAAGAGAAAAAGAAAGAAGGAAAAGATGGAGGGAAGGAAAGAAGGAAGAGAAATAAAGAAGAGAAGAGAGAAAGGAAGAGGGAGAAAAGAGAGAAGAAATGGAAGAAAGAGATGAAGGAAGGAGCAAAGAAAGAAAGAGAGAAGAGAGGAAGGAAAGAAAGGAAGGGAGGGAGGGAAAGAAGGAAAGAAAAAGGGAAAGAAAGAAAGAAGAAAGGAAAAGGGAAGGGGAGGGGAAGGAAGAGGAGGAAAAGGGAAGAAAGGGGAGGGAAAGAGAGAAAAGGAAGGAAGAAAGGAATAAAAAATAAAAAGAGAGAAAGGAATAGAAGGAGGGAGGAAGGGAAGAAGGATGGGAGGAAAGAAGGAAGGAAAAAAGGAAGGAAGGAAGGAAGGAATCCGGAACCAAAATATCTGTTCCAATGCTAGTTTTACCATTTATTACCTTGGGTCCTCCACAAGTCACTCAATCTCTCTGATCCTGTCATGTCATCTGTAAAATGAGGGTGCTAACATCAGTCAGGGACTAGCTGGACAACTTAGAGCATATTAATATGAGGGAATATTATTGTGCTGTGAAGAATGACCAAAGGGACAGGTTCAGAGAAGGGAAGACTTGTATGAATTGACACCGAGTGAAGTGAACCAGAACATTTTATACCATAATAACACCATTATGAAGATAAACAGCTTTGAGAAACTTAAGAACCCTGATCAGCACAATGACCATCCATGATTCCAGAAGAACTAGAGTGATGGGAGCTACCCACCTTATAGAGAGGAGCAGAATGACACCCAGATTTTTGGTTATGGACAATGTGGAAATTTGTTTTGTTTGACTAGGCATGTTTGTTACAAAAATTTGGGTATTTTCCTTCTTTAAAATTGAAGTGAGGAGAGAGGGAAAGAAAATAAATGTTTGCTAATTGAACAATAAAATAAAATGGAAAAATTGAGGGGGCTGAGCTAAAAAGTGCACGGAATTTAAAGTCAGAAGACCTCAGTTTGGATTTCAGCTTTATTATTCGCTGCTGCCTCTGCAACTGTGGACAAATCACTCCTCCTCCGTGTACCTCAGTTTTCTCATCTGTAAAATGAGATGATTCAATTTGATGGCCTCTAAGATTTTACCTTTCAGCTCCAAATCTAAGCTTCCACGTGATCCTTCTCATTCTAAATCCTATGAACAATAAGAGAGATGGGGGGGGGGAGATGCACAGCTGGAAGGAAAGAAGAGCTCCAGATGTGAGGGGGAAAGGGCGTTACCTACCCCCTCACACCAGCTGTGCCAATGCCTCAGGTGTCTCTGTCCAGATGTGCTCCACCCTTTTCACGTATCAAGGAGCCCAAAGGAGGAGAGGGGAGAGGGGAGAGGGCAGATCTGGGGTGGGGGAAGATGTGGAAAAGGCTAAAGTGAGAACACTGTCTCTTCAGACCTTTTTCTTCTGGGGTGTGTTGAGGGGAGCTGGGCAGGAGGGAGCTTTGGGAAAATTTGGAAAGCAAGAGAATTCAGAGCTCAGCACTTTTCATCCCTCCTGTTTTTCTTGCTCCTCGAGGTGATTTTTTTTCCCTCCTCTAAAACGCTGATGATTTTACCATTTCTTGGAGGGGGGGTATGGGTGGAGATTTCAGTCTGTTCTCCACCCCCACTCTCCAACACACACGCCAATCATGGAGAATGCATTACATTCCTGAAGAAGCCTGAGCTTCAGAGTTTCCTAAAGATGAGGTGGCGTCTCCCCCCCCCCCGACAAACCCCCTCACTCCAGGCCAGCAGGGCTGGTCTAAGAGAAGGAGGGGAGTGAGGGAGAAAGGAGGGAGCTCTGCCGACCTCTGCACGGCATTCTTCCCTTTGCCGTCATGCTGCAGAAATTAAAGACACATCTTCAGGCTGGCTGCTGGCCAAGTGTTTCAAGTCAAAAAGGAGGAGAAAGAAGAAGAGGAGGAAGAGAAGGAGGCCCCAGGCCAGGCCCCTTGACTTCTTTCATGCCACGTGTGTATGGGGCTTTGAGATGCATTGATGATGGATGGAAGAATCTT